AGAAAAAAAATAAAATAATTATAATTTAGATGTGACATTTTATCTTATTAACTATTTTAGCTTATTTTATCTTCTTTTTTTTTTGGGACTATTTTAACCAAAAAACACCAATCCAACTTCCCAAATAATCCCTTTGTTGGCTATTTTAGCCAAAAAAAAAAAATAAAAAAAATACAACTTATCAAACAGAGCCAAGACCGTTGTTTAACAGCATACAAGTCTCTGAGGTGCTCTCCACTTGTATGTATGTCAGATTTTCTATACATGAATTGTCATCATTTGGTATAAGAACCAATCACCATGTCAAGTAAGAATAAGATGTGAACTCAATTCGACGACTTTACAATCTATTTGGACTTGTTCAATTGTGTATTTAATCCAAGCATGAGATAAAATAAGTTTTGACTCAATTATTACTATATATATACATATACTTTTTTTCAAATTTCCCCATACAATACCTCTATATAACTACCTCAGAAATAATATCCAACTCAAAACCAATAACTTAGAAAGACGATACACATGAAGCTCAAATAGCACCGGAACGTAACATAGAGATGGGAGGGGAAGTATGGATAATATAAGAATTTAAAGAATGAAAGCTCCTACTCTTTGAAAAGTAGGTTCAATCATATGCCTAAACACAAGTACATTAATACTTTTCATTGTTCATTATTACCCAATGGTCAAGAAGAAAAGACAAGCTTCTTTGTGGTGACACGTATTATTTTTGGGTAGACCCAACTTTTGCTTCCACAAAAAAGTCAACTAGGAGGAAGAGGATCCATCTAAATCTGCACCAAAATGTTGTTTGTTAAAAGGACAATTTAATATAGCATTTATTTGAAAAAGAAAGGGACTCTTCAACTGATTGTTGTATGACAGCAACAAATGACAAAATAATAAATAAGACTTACAGCTGTGTGAAAACTTGTGCCGTCAGCAATATAGCATGAGCACACAAGATGAATGAATCCTCTGGTTTTCTCATTGCGACTACTCAGTCTCATGCCTGCTTGGTTCACAATTTTAAAAAAAGAAAAGAAAAGAAAAGAAAAGAAAAAAAAGCATAAGCTAATCACAATCTCCAATTATGTTGAAAACTAATCCATGCATGTGATTCCCTTATTTCATTCTGCCCGTTTGTTTCGGCTAAAAATATTTCACAATAGAATGCCTTTTTTATGAAATAATTTTTCATAAAATATTTTCCAGTCATAACATTTTTCTATGTTTTCTATGTTTAATACAAACTTGAAACAAATGAGCTAGTAATTTTATCAACGGCGGTGCTGGATGTAGTGATAGTGGCCACGGGGGTGGGGGTTGGGGTGGAGGTGGTGGTGGTGGGTTGGTAGAGGTGATGATGGAGGTGGAGATGGCAGTGGTGGTGGGGTGGTAGAGGTGCACGTGGCTGTACAACCTTGAAACTAATTGTGCTAGTTGTTTTATTAGCGGTAGCAGTGGCTGTGGCGGTGGAGGTAGCGATAGTAATGGTGGGGTGGAGGTGGTGGGGGGATGGTGGATATGGTGATGATAGAGGTGGCGGTAACGGTGGCCAAGTGGTGGAGGGGTGGTGGAGGAGATGTGAGGTGGTGGAGATAATGGTGGGTGGTAGTGGTAGTGTGGAGAAATTAGTAATATTTTAGTTCAGAAAATATTTCTTTCCAAATAAGCTTGTTTTACTTGACCAGGGGAAGTGCTTTTTGTTTACTTTTGTTTCCTGTCATACAAAATGCTAGAAAATGAGGGCCGAAACAAACGGAGTGTAAGTGCAAGGAAAAAAGCACATTTTAATGCTAAGGAAAATAGGAAGAAAAAGAAGAAGAAGAACAGAACTCAATGACCATGTATCAGCAGGATTCAAGTGGATGTGCAAACAATCAAAATTCCAAAGAACCATAAAAACATGCTCTCATTTTCACTATGTCATTCATGATGGAAGTGGAACCACATTCAAAGCAAACTTCTAAGTAATGCCTAAATTGGGGAAAAGGCGGGGGGACATTTGGTTTAGTTCGGCAAAATAATAAACCTCTGCAACTCAACGAAACCAATTCTAACTGTTTTAAACTAAATTGCTAGTAGTTCCAAGAAACATTAGTCCACTTACATCAATGAAAATAATTAGTGATGTTGATTTCCATCCTCTTTGTACTACATCTAATGAGTTCTTGTTAAGCCAAGTGGTCAAGGCAAGAGGGGGGGAAAAAAAAACCCCCTTCACTACCAAGAAGAAAAGGGTTAGCATAGGAAGGCAGGGATAGGTTTAGGGTGTCCCATCCCACCCCATTCTTGATCAGGAAAAATCAGGGAGGTAATTTGCAAACTTGAGGAGGGGACGAAACTAAATGAGATAGTTGATATGGCACATGAGGAACGACAATTGACAAGTTTTTGAGTTAAAAAAAGATTAAAGATGAGAGATGTGAAAATGAGAGATATGTACATATTTGGATGTTTTAATCATAATTATACTACATAATAAATTATATAGGGAGCCGCTATTCTCACTCTACTTTGCTTCAAATACACTCTCTTCTTTATCCTTATTATACATAGTTATATTAATATCCTTGAATTTTGATTTTTTCAAGGAGTGTATTTCGTGTGAAAGGGTATTAATGTAACTATGTATAATAAGGACAAAGAAGGGAGTGTATTTAGAGCAAAGTGGAGTGGAAATAGTAGCTCTCATTATATATAGATATATAAGTATTATTTAGGGTTGGTTTGGGATGTCCTAAAAAAGTGCACTTTTTGACTAATTGGTGGGTTTGGGTTGGGTTTGGGTTGGGTTTGATGTGATGTGTTAGAGAGGTGATGTGATTTAAATAAGATGATGTGACTTAAATAAGATAGTGACTTTTTGACTTTTTAGCTTATTTAGGACATGCCAAACTAGCCCTTAATGTAATCGGGTTGGAAGAAGCAAATCCCATCCCATCCCCTTTTTTATTGGAACAAGAAAAACTGGTGCAGAACAGGGCAGGAGATGCGGGTGCGGAAATGAATCCTTATCAGTTAGGTTTAAGGGATTTTTAAGCACATAAATATGATTCAGTTATCCAAAGACATGGGTTACTAAAGTTGTGATGAGTATAGATTCCATGTATCTTCGTGTAAATTTATACCTTGTGTTTATGTAGTGTTGTAACATCATAAGCTGCTTAATATTAATATCAGTTAGTCAGTCAAGAGGGAGTCAGCCTAGCTGCCCTCTTTTTCCAAATGTGTAAGCATTGATTAATGTCATTAATGCATCTAGCACTTGACATACTACATAGAAATATAAAATATCTGGGAAAAGGCAGAAAAGTTATTCCAAATTTATACCTTAATTAGTCTCCCCTCTTTCTCTCTCTTCAAAAGGGACTCCTAACTTGAAAAGACTGTCCTGAGTTCTGAGTCTATACTAGCTACACACCGATGGCTCGGTAAGGTGCATGAAAACATTGATTCATTTTTACGGGTGTGATGTGGGACGAGCTGGGAACTACTCTCCTACTAGCAGCAAGTCCAAACTTAATATATGACAACAAAAAAACTTATGACATGTTCGGTACGTTAGAATAGCTTTGTATTTTATTCCATTTCTCTTGTTTGGTGAGTCTTATATAATTGGGAATACTTGTTCCATTGGAATGATTATTCCAACCAAAAGTAAAAAATACATATTGCTTCCTTCCTCCAAACTAAATAATAGGGCATTTTATTCCTTAATGGAACCAGTCTAAAACAGTGTTGTTTACTCCCCTCCATTGGCCACCATCACCACAGCCACCTTACTAATACCACCACTACCACCATCGCCACCACCCCCTACCATCACTGCCACCACCACCACCTCCATCCTACCACCACGACCACACAACCTCCACGGCCACCTACCACCACCACCACCCTACCATCACAACCACCGCCAACAGCACTACCACCCTACCATCACGGTCACCACCACACCACCCTATAAGCACCATCGCTTTTGCCGCCGCTGCCACCACCACTCAAACCATAACTACCAACAATAACATTAATCTACATGTGCTTAGTTTGATTGTTAGTAGCTTGATTAAATAAATTAAAAAATTAAAAATCATTCCATTCCAATCAATTTAATAGGCATAACCAAGCACCTAAATGAAAATTGTCATTCCATGCTGGTAAACAATGATATGGGCATGGGCATTCCACTCCATTCAAACCTTGTATTCCATTCTCACTTCATTTCATTACTGTGTACCAAATGTAGCCTTAAGCTTTTGGAGCTGATTTTTAATTGATTTTTCTGACTAAAATGGTGGTAGAAATATACAGAATTTTAGGGTTAGTGTAGGATTTTGAAAATGAAAATACAATTCTGGGGGGGGCTTTTCTGGACACTCTGAACAGTAACAGTCCTTGGTTCAAGTCATTTTTTGGTGCTATAGTGTTCAAATTGGAGAAAGAATTGCTCAAGTTTGTAAAATAGGATTTAAACAAGGAAAACAAAGATTGGGCAGATTTGGTTATGTGATTTTAGAGGCTAATAGCGTATAAAAATAACTCTAGTTATCACTCCTATAAACGCATGACACCTAGGGTTTTGATTGCATCATACAATTTCAAGAAGCTTCAAAATAACTGAAAATTCTCTAGAAAAGTTCTCCATTGAATAAAAGGTATTGCATTGTTTTATATTGAATAAAAGGTATTGCATTGTTTTATATAGACTTTTACTGCACCAATTAGGACTAGGATTCCTAAATAGAAAAAGACTTCTAAAACCTATCTAAGATCAAATAAAACACTACAAGAAACTCAATTACATAACTGGACTCACATGACAACCCATAGGTGATGACCCATATTACCTGACAGGTTTTAAATAGGGAAATTTACTCACAAGAAGTCCCATCCTACAAAAATATATACCGGAAAGTCCTATGAATTTTTTCGTAGACTATTAAGTCCCATTGAATTTGAAAAGGTGCACCATCCTAGAGACAACAAATGTGGGTATGCTTCATTTGTGCACTATTATCTTTAAACTTTTTCCAAACATGTCATTCTTAAAATGTTCATCTTCATAAGGGATCTGAGTGGATTTTTTACATGTACATACTCCACTAAACCTAACCCACTACACCACTACCATCTCACCTACTCCACTAAACCTAACCCACTACACCACTACCATCTCACCTACTCCACTAAACCTAACCCACTACACCACTACCATCTCACCTACTCCACTAAACCTAACCCACTACACCACTACCATCTCACCTACTCCACTAAACCTAACCCACTACACCACTACCATCTCACCTACTCCACTAAACCTAACCCACTACACCACTACCATCTCACCTACTCCACTAAACCTAACCCACTACACCACTACCATCTCACCTACTCCACTAAACCTAACCCACTACACCACTACCATCTCACCTACTCCACTAAACCTAACCCACTACACCACTACCATCTCACCTACTCCACTAAACCTAACCCACTACACCACTACCATCTCACCTACTCCACTAAACCTAACCCACTACACCACTACCATCTCACCTACTCCACTAAACCTAACCCACTACACCACTACCATCTCACCTACTCCACTAAACCTAACCCACTACACCACTACCATCTCACCTACTCCACTAAACCTAACCCACTACACCACTACCATCTCACCTACTCCACTAAACCTAACCCACTACACCACTACCATCTCACCTACTCCACTAAACCTAACCCACTACACCACTACCATCTCACCTACTCCACTAAACCTAACCCACTACACCACTACCATCTCACCTACTCCACTAAACCTAACCCACTACACCACTACCATCTCACCTACTCCACTAAACCTAACCCACTACACCACTACCATCTCACCTACTCCACTAAACCTAACCCACTACACCACTACCATCTCACCTACTCCACTAAACCTAACCCACTACACCACTACCATCTCACCTACTCCACTAAACCTAACCCACTACACCACTACCATCTCACCTACTCCACTAAACCTAACCCACTACACCACTACCATCTCACCTACTCCACTAAACCTAACCCACTACACCACTACCATCTCACCTACTCCACTAAACCTAACCCACTACACCACTACCATCTCACCTACTCCACTAAACCTAACCCACTACACCACTACCATCTCACCTACTCCACTAAACCTAACCCACTACACCACTACCATCTCACCTACTCCACTAAACCTAACCCACTACACCACTACCATCTCACCTACTCCACTAAACCTAACCCACTACACCACTACCATCTCACCTACTCCACTAAACCTAACCCACTACACCACTACCATCTCACCTACTCCACTAAACCTAACCCACTACACCACTACCATCTCACCTACTCCACTAAACCTAACCCACTACACCACTACCATCTCACCTACTCCACTAAACCTAACCCACTACACCACTACCATCTCACCTACTCCACTAAACCTAACCCACTACACCACTACCATCTCACCTACTCCACTAAACCTAACCCACTACACCACTACCATCTCACCTACTCCACTAAACCTAACCCACTACACCACTACCATCTCACCTACTCCACTAAACCTAACCCACTACACCACTACCATCTCACCTACTCCACTAAACCTAACCCACTACACCACTACCATCTCACCTACTCCACTAAACCTAACCCACTACACCACTACCATCTCACCTACTCCACTAAACCTAACCCACTACACCACTACCATCTCACCTACTCCACTAAACCTAACCCACTACACCACTACCATCTCACCTACTCCACTAAACCTAACCCACTACACCACTACCATCTCACCTACTCCACTAAACCTAACCCACTACACCACTACCATCTCACCTACTCCACTAAACCTAACCCACTACACCACTACCATCTCACCTACTCCACTAAACCTAACCCACTACACCACTACCATCTCACCTACTCCACTAAACCTAACCCACTACACCACTACCATCTCACCTACTCCACTAAACCTAACCCACTACACCACTACCATCTCACCTACTCCACTAAACCTAACCCACTACACCACTACCATCTCACCTACTCCACTAAACCTAACCCACTACACCACTACCATCTCACCTACTCCACTAAACCTAACCCACTACACCACTACCAT